ATTTCAGGGTATACTTGATAATATTGGTCAAAAATTCCAAGGTGGCAAGACTTTAACTGTTGAACAGCTTCAATATGTAAAAGATACAATCAATCGAGGTTTCGGTGCCGTCGTATATTACTACAATTCTGCTACTAATCAGGTGAAACAAGCTGTGTACTTAGACATACGAAGCTAATTCAAGATTATAGAATCTTTGGCGTTTATTTATGTCCTTTTCATTTCACCTTCCCTTTTAGGTCTTTAAATAAAATAACTGATAAAGGTAATGGCAATGAAAGTAAACCGTGTAAAGGATTAAGCAATATATTTTAAATTGCACGAATACTTATCTTTAAAAGGCATTCTTATAAACGGGGGTGCGAACTTGCAATTTGTAAAATACATCTTTAGAATTCAATTTAGAATGCTATACTATACTATAGTTATAATAATAATGACAATAATGAAGAACAATCATAAAGTAAAAAAAAAAAAAAAAAATCCTGCTATATCGATAAAAGATTGCATAAAAAGTTTAAAGAAATATATAATTGTTGCAAAAAAAGAAGTATTGTATTACAATTCATCTTTTTCATGTCTTAATTGCTCTTTCATCTTATCAAACCCTATTTTCTCGGATGCTTTTTCATAACCTTCCGAAGCTTTGTTTTTAGCGGCCTGATAACCTTCACCCAACTGTTCACCCAAATTACCATATTCATCATAAACTCTTTCTTTAATAGTATCATAAGTTTCGCCTACATATTCAGCAGTTTCAGCCAATCCGGATTTTAAAGAAGTCAAAAAAGAAGTAACCTTGTCTTCAGTAATATCACGAATATTTTGTAGATTTCCAAACTGTTCCTTTATGACATCGGAAAGGATCCTTGCTTGTCCAGGATTAAGTTGTAGCGTGATATCATGCTCTATTTCATGCAGGGAAAGTTTTTGGTCCCCTTTTTTCCTCATTTCCTGAATTCTGTCTTGAATATCTTTAATAATTTGATTTAAACGTTCTTCTCTAGCTTCCTTAGTCTCGTACACAGCTTGTTTCACCTGATTAGTAGCAGAATTGTAGTAATATACGACGGCACCGAAACCTCGATTGATT